ATAGCAGCACTCTCAACAATAGCCAAATTATGGAAAGAGCCTAAATGTCCATCAACTGATGAATGGATAAAGAAATTGTGGTTTATATACACTATGGAATACTACGTGGCAATGAGAAAAAATGAAATATGGCCTTTTGTAGCAACGTGGATGGAACTGGAGAGTGTGATGCTAAGTGAAATAAGCCATTTAATCTTTTTACCTCTATGGTATCTCAATATTCTCAAATTCCGCTATATTTTTCTTTGTAACTAGGTTGTTTGCTTATATAGAATCTGAAATCACTAATTGCTTAGTAACCAGTCATTTTAATGAAACTTGGGTGGTTCAGTCAGTTAAGTGTCCGACTTCGGCTCAGGTCATGATCTCAGTTTGTGAGTTTCAGTCCTGCATTGGGCTCTAGCTGACAGCTTGGAGCCTGGAGCTTGCTTCAGGTTCTGTCTCCCTCTACTTCTGCCTCTCCCCTACTCATGCTCTGTCTCTGTCTCTGTGTCTGTCTTTCTTTCTCTCTCAAAAATAAATAAATATTTAGAAATAAAAAAAATTAATTAAAAAAAGGAAACAGGTAAAAGCTCTTTGATATGTACTCAAAAATTAATAAGATAGTTATATAATCAAGAAGAACATTCTCTTGAAGCTAAGTCTCAGTCAGTTATGGTGAAAAATATAGGATGAAGTATTTTATTACTCTTTCTTGCTCTTAACTTCATTTATTTCTTTCATTTTTCACACGTTCTTCTACTCCTTTGTCATCTGTTTGTTTGCTTTGTCTTTTTATTTCATCATTTTCTTTTTATTTGATGACTTATACTGGAATATGGTGAAAATGTAAGGTTACTTTAAAGTGAAAAATAAGGAAAATATAAAAGGAAACAAGATTTATATATGTAATTTCAGTTGTATTTTATATACATAACTTGTTAATTTGTTATAATTTACAGTTATTCAATATTGGCTATAAATAATTTAAAAATTACAGGAAACATAAGGAAGTGGTCAACAAATTTGAAATATATGTTAATCAGTGCTACAGACGTATACATCTGTAACCTAACAGTTTTATATGAAACTTTTTGAGGGAAAATCAAAATAAGAAATTATGCATGTTAAAGAACTCATTGATTTGTCATTAAATGACAAAGGGAGTGAAAAAGGGAGGCCAATTCACTAAACAAGCATGTTTGGAAGTGCAGAGTCTATGTCAGGTACTGGCCTAGGTACTTGGGGTATATTAGTAAGTAAACTAAGTCCATACTATTAAGTGTACATTTTTTTATGATTTTAATATGTTGATGAAATTGATATCTCAGTAACTCTCATGAATTTTAAACTTATTTAGTGACCATTACCCAGATATATCATCCTGTTCCAAAAAATAGAAAGGGAAGAAAAACTTCCAGACTCATTCTATGAAGCCAGCATTACTTTGATTCCCAAAACAGACAGAGACCCAACAACAACAAAAAAAGAGAACTACAAGCCCATATCCCTGGTGAATATTGATGCAAGAAATCTCAACAAGATACTAGCAAATTGAATTCAACAGCATGTAAAAATAATTATTCACCATGATCAGGCGAGATTCATTCCTGGCTGCAGGGCTGGTTCAATATTCACAAATCAATCAATGTGATACATCACATTAACAAAAGAAAATATAAGAACCACATAATCCTATCAATTAATGCAGAAAAGGCATTTGACAAGACATAGCATCCTTTCTTAATAAAGACCCTTGTCAAAGTTGGTATAGAAGGAACATACTTAAACATCATAAAGGCCATTTATGAAAAGCCTACAGTTAATATCATCCTCAATGGGGAAAAACTGAGAGCTTTTCCCCTGAGATCAGGAACATGATAGGGATGTCCACTCCCACCACTGTGAGGGATGTCCTAAAATCAGCAATCAGACAGCAAAATGAAATAAAAGGCATCAAAATTGGCAAAGATGAAGTCAAGCTTTCACTTTTTGCAGATGACATGATAGTATACACGGAAAACCCCATAGACTCCACTAAAAGTCTGTTAGAACTGATACATGAATTCAGCAAAATTTCAGGATGCAAAATTAATGTACAGAAATCAGTTGCATTTCTATACACCAATAATGAGGCAACAGAAAGACAAATAAAGAAACTGATCCCATTCACAACTGCACCAAGAATCATAAAATACCTAGGAATGAACCTAACCAAAGATGTAAAAGAACTGTATGCTGAAAACTATAGAAAATGTATGAAGGAAATTGAAGAAGATACAAAGAAATGGAAAAAAATTCCACACTCATGGATTGGAAGAATAAATATTGTTAAAATGTCAATACTACCCAAAGAAATCTACACATTCAATGCAATCCCAATCAAAATTGCACCAGCATTCTTCTCAACGCTAGAACAAGCAATCCTAAAATCTGTATAGAACCACAAAAGACCCCGAATAGCCAAAGTAATTTTGAAGAAGAAGACCAAAGCAGGAGGCATCACAATCCCAGACTTTAGCCTCTACTACAAAGCTGTCATCATCAAGACAGCATGGTATTGGCACAAAAACAGACACAGAGACCAATGGAATAGAATAGAGACCCCAGAATTGGACTCACAAATGTATGGCCAACTAATCTTTGACAAAGCAGGAAAGAATATTCAATGGAAAAAAGACAGTCTCTTTAACAAATGGTGCTGGGAGAACTGGACAGCAACATGCAGAAGAATGAAACTAGACCACTTTCTTACACCACAAAAAAAATAAACGCAAAATGGATGAAGGACCTGACTGTGAGATAGGAAACCATCAAAACCCTACAGGAGAAAGCAGGGAAAAAACTCTCTGACCTCAGACACAGCAATTTCTTACTCGACACATCTCTAAAGGCAAGGGAATTGAAAGCAAAAATGAACTATTGGGACTTCATCAAGATAAAAAGCTTCTGTACTAAAAAGGAAACAATCAACGAAACTAGAAGGCAAATGACGGAATGGGAAAAGATATTTACAAATAACATATCAAATAAAGGGCTAATATCAAAAATCTGTAAAGAACTCTCCAAACTCCACACCTGAAAAACAAATAATACAGTGAAGAATTGGGCAGAAGACATGAATAGACACTTTTCTAAAGAAGACATCCAGATGGCCAACAGGCACATGAAAAGATGCTCAATGTCACTCCTCATCAGGGAAATACAAATCAAAACTACACTGATATATCACCTCACGCTGGGCAGAGTGGTTAAAATGAACAACTCAGGAAGCTATCGATGCTGGCAAGGATGCAGAGAAACGGGAACCCTCTCACACTGTTGGTGGGAATGCAAACTGGTGAAGCTGCTCTGGAAAACAGTGTGGAGGTTCCCCCCCCCCAAAAAAAAATAGATCTACCTTATGACCCAGCAATAGCACTGCTTGGAATTTACCCAAGGGTTTACAGGATTGCTGATGCATAGGGATACTTGTATCCAAATGTCAGGCAGAGAGAGACAGATGCCATATGTTTTCACTCATATGTTCATCCTGAGAAACTTAACAGAAGACCAGGGGGGAGGGGAAGGGGGGAAAACGAAGTTACAGAGAGGGAAGGAGGGAAACCATAAAAGACTCTTAAATACTGAGAACAAACTGAGGGTTGATGGGAGTGGGGTAGAGGGGAAAGTGGGTGATGGGAATTGAGGAGGGCACCTGTTTGGATAAACATTGGGTGTTGTGTGGAAACCAATTTGACAATTATATATATATATATATATATATATATATATAGGCAGAAGACACGAACAGACATTTCTCCAAAGAAGACATAAAAATGGCTAACAGACACATAAAAATGCTCAACATCACTCATTATCAGAGAAATACAAAGCAAAACCACAATGAGATACCACCTCACACTGTCAGAGTGACTAAAATTAAGACTATATGAAAAAATAGATGTTGGTGAGGATGCAGAGAACAGGGAACCTTCATGCACTGTTGATTGGAATGAAAATTGGTGCAGCCACTCTGGAAAACAGTATGCCTGTTCCTCAGAAAATTAAAAATAGAACTACTCTATGACCTAGCACTATTACTAGTCAGTATTTATCCAAAGAATACAAAAATGCTGATTCAAAGAGATACATGCATCCCATTGTTTATGACAGCACTTTCAACAGTAGCCAAATTATGGAAAGAGCCCAAATGTCCATTGAATGATGAATGGATAAAGAAGATGTGGTATATATACACAATGAATGAATATTACTTGGTGATCAAAAATAATGAAATCTAGGTGTGCTTGGGTGGCTCAGTCAGTTAAGCTTCTAATTCTTGATCTTGGTTCAGGTCATGATATCATGGTTCATGAGTTTGAGCTTGCATTGAGCTCCTCTCTGTCAGTGCAGGGCCTACTTGGGGTTCTATCTCTCCCCCTCTCTCTGCCCTTGCCCTGCTCTCTCTCTCTCTCTCTCTCTCTCTCTCTCTCTCTCTCTCCCTGTCTCTCTGAAAATAAATAAACTAAAAAGAGGAAAATGAATTAAATCTTGCCATTTGTAACAACGTAGTTGGAACTAGAGTGTATTAAGCTAAGCAAAATAAGAGTCAGAGCAAGATGAATATAATATGATTTTACCCATATGTGGAATTTAAGAAACAAAACAGAACATATTGGAAGGGAAGGAAAAATGTCATAAAAACATAGAGGAAGGCAAACCATAAGAGACTCTTAAATACATAAAACAAACTGAGGGTTGCTAGAGGTGAGTTAGGTGGATGGGATGGGCTAAATGGGTGATGAGCATTAAGGAGGGCACTTGTTGGGATGAGCACTGGGTGTTAAATGGAAGCAATGAATCACTAAATTCTACTCCAGAAACCAATACTACATATATGTTAACTAACTTGAATTTAAATTTAAAAAATAAAATGATAAAATAATAATAATAATAATAATAATGACAGATCTAGTTAATTGCAATCATCTGTAGCCCAAAACTATTGTTTCTCTGTGTCCCACTCATAGCTAACGTCCTTCTTAGCATCTCTTTGTGAATTAGAACACAAATCTAAATGTCTTATATGTTGCCTCTAGCATTCAAAGGAACCCATTAGCAGTGTTCCTCTTAATGCATTTCCCTTTCATTTAAAGGTAGGATGCCCAAATAAATACCCCACATTATTGAATTCTTAGACTATACTAAAGTGGAAACCCTCATTTTTGCCATAAAAATGTCCAAGATATCTATCTCTGGGTTGCCTCAGCTGTTTGGATTTTCAGAGATTCTATCACTTTTATAACAAACAACCTGCAGTAAAATCTTTATATTATAAATGTTCCCATGGATTTCTGTTTTACTGCTTCAATCATGACTAATTCAGGACCAAATAACTGATTAAACCTTACCAAATCATTTTGTAGCTGAGGCAATTTTTATTGTGATGCTGGCCCTTAAACCATTATGTTAACCACAACCAGCATGTTTCTATTGGTCCCTGCCAACACTCATCCATAGCTACCCAAATTAAGTGGACAAATTTCTTCTTCAATGCCTTCAGAAAATGGCCAGTACAGTTTTGAAAGATACTTGGAGGCCGTTTACAAATTTATTCTTAATGCCTTAATTATATTAAGAAATTGTATTCCAGAGCCACATTGTCAACATGGACAATGTGTAGATGAGATTATACATGATAAATTTATTTCAATATTTCTAATTCTCCAAGATTTTGGGTACACTTCTCCTCATTATACTAAGAAAGTGTATCTCAATTTCATTTACAGTAAGCCACTAATGTGCTCAAATTTTATTTAACCAAGCATGTAAATAATTACAATCATTCACATTTGCCTAAATAGAGAAATAAAAAGATAAATTATTCTTTACCCCAGTATCATGGAAAAATCCACAATAGTTTTTATATAAAGGAATTTATCTTTTCTTCTAGTTGTTAAGTTATTGGACTTAGAGATACACATAAAATAACTAATTCTATTTAACTTTTTGTAGCTGCATCATCAATGAATTCAGCCAAAATTATGCCCTTCTTTACTTGGTCTACCATCCATAGGATCCATTCTTACACAACTTTAGATATTTGTCAATATAAATTGCCAATATCTTACAATTCTTTGGGGGCATTAACTTTTTACTCTAAGGTTTTCACAGAGTTGGCAGGAGTTACAGAAGTTTGGGGAGTGGTGCAGGATACTGGCTTCCCCTTGTAAAATAATTCCTTAAGGTAAGAAGAAGTTTGGGAGTGATGTAAGATACTGGCTTCCCCCTATAAAATAACTGCTTAGGGGCACTTGGGTGGCGCAGTCGGTTAAGCGTCCGACTTCAGCCAGGTCACGATCTCGCGGTCCGTGAGTTCGAGCCCCGCGTCAGGCTCTGGGCTGATGGCTCAGAGCCTGGAGCCTGTTTCCGATTCTGTGTCTCCCTCTCTCTCTGCCCCTCGCCCGTTCATGCTCTGTCTCTCTCTGTCCCAAAAATAAATAAACGTTGGGAAAAAAATTTAAAAAAAATAAAATAAAATAAAATAACTGCTTAATGTAAGATTACTACAGAGCTCTCAAGTAAGGGTGATTATTTGCTTCAGCTGATAAGACAGACTCATGAGGTTCAAAGGCTTAGGACTACCCCGAGTTATTTAAATCCTCTCTTATACCTCCCTCCTCTGAACTTTACATGTTAATATTTGTTGAATTGTGCCAAAACTCTCACATAACGATTTTGGGAGGCCTTAACTAAATTGATATTTCTACAATCAACAGAATCTATGTTTTGGTTTGGCTCTTGGCAAGTGCACAAAAGAAAAAAATAATTTAACACAGTCATAGAATGCCTCTACTTTTTGAACGGAGAATTGTGAAGTTTAAGTTGGTCATTTTCTTTCATAATGTTGCAAAGAATTGGGTTTTAGGCAGAAAATATTTGGACAAGTGAGAGAAATATAGAATTAGTTACTTGACCAAGTTAAATAAAGTGAAAATATTTTTTTGGAGATGAGATTCTGCCAGCTCATGGCATGTAGTCATGAATGTTGGCCATGATATCAGTGGACACCAGTTATGAAGTGCCCATTGAAGAAAAGACTAGGAACCAAATGGCAAGTCATAGACTGTTTAAAATGAGAAAATTGCTAGCTCAAATTCCAAAAAGAATTGAGGGGTCCTGGACAAGCATAAACAATGTACAATTTTGTAAAGGCAAGTGCTCCACGGTGAGATCATGAATATTAGGAACAAAAATGTCAGAGATCAAGGTTAATTCAGACAAGGGAGATTTCCCAATGTTGGGGAAAAATGATGCTTAAACTTCCCGAATTCAGTTACAAGCTTGAAATGAACTAACTGAATTTTACTTTGATTTTGGCAGATGATGTGTTTAAATCGGCTATGATTAGAAATAGAAAAGTAATGTGCTATTCCTTATACCCAGTGTCATGGAAAAATGTATACGCTTTTTAATACTAAAATAAATTATCTTTTCTTCTAGCTATTAATTATTGAGGCATACACCAAATAGCTCATTTTATTTTTGAGTTTTTGTTTTGTTCTCAAAATTTTCAGAAAAAAAATTCAGACTAGCAGAGTTAGCAGTAGCATATTTGATTATAAATAAAATGTTTTAGACTGCTTTTACACATAACTTTTACTTTACCTGTCACAACTGCATCTTCTGGTCTCATAAAACACATACATAAAGAAGAAAACAATGTTTTCAGAGTTCTATATGATTAGCCAGGAAAAGACCTCCTCTGTCTACCCCAAACTGAGGGCCAGCTATAAAGGGGAATGGGAGAATTGAAGCAAGAGTACTACAAGGTAGCTTGTCAACTATGGCAAGTGTATACAGTTTAATAGTATTCATTAAACTTACATTTTAGGGAAATGGTATATTGAAACAGATAAAATAGCATAGAAATATAACTAAGCCGTCCTAAAATGCATTTTAAAAGAAAATATGGCAAAATATTATTGGTGCCTATTTTGGATGGAATTATTGTTAAATTTTTAAATGTTCTCTGCTTTTGGGGCACCGTGGTGGCTCAGTCAATTGAGCGTCCAACTTAGGCTCAGGTCATGATCTCACGGTCTGTGAGTTCGAGCCCCGCGTCTGCTTTGTGCTGACACCTCGGAGCCTGGAGCCTGCTTCGGATTCTGTGACTCCCTCTCTCTCTGACCCTCCCCTGTTCATGCTCTGTCTCTTTGTGTCTCAAAAATAAATAAACATTAAAAAAAATTTAAATGTCCTCTGCTTTTGGGGTGCCTGGGTGGCTCCATTGGTTAAGCATCTGACTTCATCTCAGATCATGATCTTGCAGTTTGTGAGTTTGAGCCTGCAACGGGCTCTCTGCTGACAGCTCAGAGCCTGGAGCCTGTTTCAGATTCTCTGTCTCCCTCTTTCTCTGCCCCTCCCCCACTCATGCTCTGTCTCTGTCTCTCAATAATAATCATCAAAAAAATAAAAAAAAATTTTCTCTGCTTTTTAAAACTTTTTGGAGTACTTTTCTAAATACTCTTACAACAGGATTTGTATTAAAAATATCAATCTGCAGGGGCACCTGGGTGGCTCAGTCGGTTGGGCGTCCGACTTCAGCTCGGGTCATGGTCTTGCAGTTCGAGTTTGAGCCCTGCATCGGGCTCTGTGCTGATAGCTCAGAGCCTGGAGCCTGCTTCAGATTCTGAATCTCTCTCTCTCTCCCCCTCCCCTGCTCATGCTCTGCCTCTCTCTGTCTCTCAAAAGTAAATAAATATTAAAACCAATAAAAAATATCAATCTGCAAATCAGAAAAATCCGTTATTGCCAAAAGAGGACAGAAGAAATAAATTTGGCACTCTGTTAAGTATAATGTAGGATCAGTAAACAAACAAAAAAAATATAAGAACAGAGGCATATACTCCACTCCCTTCTGATAAAGGTAAATTAAACTCCAAAGAATTCCCAAACTTGGAAGCCATGTATTTCAAGTCAATTCTTAGTCAAATCACACTGTTAAAAAACAAAACAAAACAAAAACATGGCAAAGTTTTAATTCCCATTAAAATGCTTAAAAACAAAAACAGCCTATCAATATTAAAAGACAAATATAGTGAGAGAAAGCAAGTGTTGTCGTTACAGAAAGGAGGAAAATGCCATTTCTTTGCTTAATGTTTCCTTAATTTAAAACAGGACTTTGGATATTCTTAGATGTAAGGTTCAAGTTGGTGAAAATAAACTATCAGTTTGTTACCTATAATTAACTTCATAATAAAACACAGATACTTATTTATGTGAACATTAAATGCTTTTCAAAAGTCTAAATTGTGAAGATAATAAATCTTTCCATTAAATTAGTGGGAAAAGAGCTCAAAACCCAGCTGAATGATTCATTATTTTAATGACTTCCTGCTTTACTACATCACCCTCATCTTTATTTGGTGTTGGCAGTTTCAGTCCCTTTTAAAGATTTAGGCTTACAATGAAGCTTCTATAAATGTCCAGATCTTTGTCATGCCAGTATGTAGGCCATTCTCCTTTAGGAATGATGAGGAGGCTGGAAAGCAGTTGTCCCAAGGGAAAGTTGCTTCCAGCCCAAGCTGTCCAAGCATCATTATGAAATAGATTGGACTGCTGACTCAGGGTGTGACAGAGGCAGCCACTGTGCAGAAGCAAATTTATAAACAGGTCTGTCGCAGCAGGTGTCACTAAAAGGCAATCTTGTGGGCTCTAATTATACCAATTGAGCGAGTTCTAGAGGAGAGGGAAAAGGGAGAAGAGACCTAAAGCTGCACTCAAAGGAAAGTGAACAATTTCCTTTCTGTTTCCACCCCTATATTTCCAATAGCATATTGATTTGGATTTATTTTATCAAACCGCAATGGTTATAAACAGATTGTGATTTCTTTTCACACACAATATGTTGGCTTTATATTTATTCTCCTGGCCCAACAGTGTCTAAACATGTACTTACTTAAATTGATATAAATGCAGCTGGTCATCATCTGACTGCATGTCTACTGAGATAAAAACTTGGAGATAATTTATTTTTTTAATTTTTTTCAATATATGAAGTTTATTGTCAAATTGGTTTCCATACAACACCCAGTGCTCATCCCAAAAGGTGCCCTCCTCAATACCCATCACCCACCCTCCCCTCCCTCCCAACCCCCATCAACCCTCAGTTTGTTCTGTTTTTAAGAGTCTCTTATGCTTTGGCTCTCTCCCACTCTAACCTCTTTTTTTTCCTTCCCCTCCTCCATGGGTTTCTGTTAAGTTTCTCAGGATCCACATAAGAGTGAAACCATATGGTATCTGTCTTTCTCTGTATGGCTTATTTCACTTAGCATCACACTCTCCAGTTCCATGCACGTTGCTACAAAGGGCCATATTTCATTCTTTCTCATTGCCACGTAGTACTCCATTGTGTATATAAACCACAATGTCTTTATCCATTCATCAGTTGAGGGACATTTAGGCTCTTTCCATAATTTGGCTACTGTTGAGAGTGCTGCTATAAACATTGGGGTACAAGTGCCCCTATGCCTCAGTACTCCTGTATCCCTTGGGTAAATTTTTAGCGGTGCTACTGCTGGCTCAGAGGGTAGGTCTATTTTTAATTTTTTGAGGAACCTCCACACTGTTTCCCAGAGCGGCTGCACCAGTTTGCATTCCCACCAACAGTGCAAGAGGGTTCCTGTTTCTCCACATCCTCTCCAGCATCTGTAGTGTCCTGATTTGTTCATTTTGGCCACTCTGACTGGCATGAGGTGATATCTGAGTGTGGTTTTGATTTGTATTTCCCTGATGAGGAGCGACGTTGAGCATCTTTTCATGTGCCTGTTGGCCATCCGGATGTCTTCTTTAGAGAAGTGGACAGACATGAATTTCGTGCCATTGTATTTCTTGTAGAGTTGGTGTTTCTGATGATGTTTTCTAATCCTTTCTAGTCTTTGTTTCTTTTGGTCTTTTTTTTCCCACTCAAAGACTCCTCTTAAGAATTTCTTGCAGGGCTGTTTTAGTGATAACAAATTCCTTTAGTTTTTGTTTGTCTGGGAAGGTCTTTATATCTCCCTCTGTTGTGAATGACAGCTTTGTGGATAAAAAAATCATGGCTGCACATACTTCCCATTCAGCACTTGAATATGTCTATCAGTCCTTTCTGGCCTACCATGATTTTGTGGACAGATCTGCTGTGAACCTGATCTGTCTTCCTTTATAGGTTAAGGACTTTTTTTTCCCTTTTGGCTTTCTTTATTCTTTACTTGTCTGCATATTTTGTGAATTTGACTATGACATATCTTGGTGATGGTTGGTTTTTGTTGAATCTAATGGTAGTTCTCTGTGCTTCTTTGATTTTGATGTCTGTGTCCTTCTCAAGATTAGGGAGTTTTTCACCTACAATGTGCTCCCATAAACCCTCTGCCCCTTTTTCTCTCTCTTCATCTTTGGGGCTCTTTTGATACAAATGTTGTTTCTCCTAATAAGTCGTTGAGTTCGCTAAATCTTGTAGTGTGATCTTTTGCCTTTCCCCGCCTTTTCCTGTTTCATTATTTTCCACAGTTTTATCTCTTATATTGCTGATTCACTGTTCTGTTTCATTCATCCTTGCCATCACAACATCCATTTGAGACTGCATTTTGGTTATAAGCTTTTTTATTTCAGCCTGACTAGATTTTAGTTCTTTTATCTCTGCAGAAAGGAATTTTCTGGTGTCTTCTATGCTTTTTTCAACCCCAGCTAGTATTCTTATATTCATGGTTTTAAATTCTAATTCAGATATCTTACTTATATCTGAGTTGATTAAGTCCCTAGCCATCATATCTTCCTGTTCATTCTTTTGGGGTGAATTTCTCCATCTTGTCATTTTGTATGAAGAAAAAATAATAAACAAATAAAAACTTAAAAGTAAAAAAAAAAATCAGAACAAAAGTGAAGGAAGCTGGACCCTAGGTATATTTTACTCTGTTTGTTGAGAGAAACTTGATAGAAAAGAGAAAAGAGAAAGAAAAAAAGTTTAAACATTTTTTTAAATAATAAAATAAAATGAAGAAAGTAAAACAATGAAAAAATTTTGCTCTTTCTGTATCCAAGAAAGGAAAAGAAATAAAGAAAAAAAAAATAAAAAGGAAAACGACAGAAGCAAAAACAGGCAAAGAAAATGAACAAAATGATGAACAAATTCATCCAGTTAGAAGTTAGATCCAGTTTCCCCTAGAACTGAAACTTTGCAGTACACTATGGTCTGTAGACTGAACAGGTGGAAGGGATTTGTGCTGGCCTTCCGGGAGATGTGCCTGGAGGAGAAAGGTGGGTGGGGCTTGGTATAACAGCTCTGTTCTCTACTTGGTGGTGCTGCTTAGCTCACTGGAGTCAATCCACACACACATGCGTTGTACGTAAAAATGACTTCAGCCTGCTCTCTAGTTTCTGGTGTGAGACTTTCATGCCATCACAGATGTGCAATCAATCATCCCTCCTTTGTCTTAGTCTTCTGTTCACTCTCTGCCTTTACCCTGTCTGTGTCCAAGCTGTCTGCCTGCCAGGCTATGCCTCCCTCCAGAGTTTTATCCCAAATGGTGTCGGGTTTCAAAACCCCACGCTTCAGAGTCCCCTGCAGCTTGGAACCACACTGATTCTCTGGAGGAGGGACTTATCATGCAATGGACTGGTACTGACTTGTCCCAGAAAACGTTAACATGATCCTGCAGCATAAGAGGCTCAGAGTTTATAGTCAACCTCAATACACAGCTGGTGCCGGGTTTTGTTGCCCTCAGGGAGTGTCTTAGTGTCAATATCGGTAAACATTGAAACTCTCTGGGGTCCACTGAGACTGTTGCCTACAGGGAGGCCCATATTGCCTCTACGAATGCACTCCAACCAAGAGAATTTCTCCACATGTTGCACATGGGACCCCTCAGATTGTGCTGCTTGCTTCTGGGGTCTCACCCTGCTTCCTCACCAGAATACTGCCAGACACTGGGCTCTGAAACCCAGACTCTGTGTTCCACTGTCTATAGAAAATTGGAAGTATTGGAACCCTTTCCTTTTTCCCATCAATGGTTTTTGTGAACAGATTTCTTGTCCATTCCCCTGTGAGTGTTTTCACTCTTTCTCTCCAGCTACTTTCAGGGGGAGTGCTTTTCTTGTGTGTTCCTGATATGCTTCTCTCCCTCCCACTCTGGTTTTCTCTCTGTCCCCCACAAAAATGGCTCCCTACCCTCCATTGTTCCACAGCTGTTCTTTACTCCAATTCACCTTTCTGCACCATGTATCTGCTTAGTTCTCTGGCTCAAATTATGCAGATTATTGTGTTAATCCTCAGATCAATTTCCTAGGTATTAAAAATGGTTTGCTGCTGATCTAGCTGGGTTTCAGGGATGATATAATTTAAGGGTCCCCATATTACTCTGCCATCTTAACTCCTCCCTGACATACCTTTTTAAATTTTAAATTATATTTTTCAAAATCCATAAATCCGTCATTTTCACTTGTCCTTTATCCTCACAACTTATGACATCAATTCAAAGTTACCTAATTTGAATTTTCTCAATTATATTTTCAGTTTCACTATTATGGATTTTCATTTGGATATTACTTTTCAATTTATCTGCTATGTTTCCTTATATAAAAAAGATCCATTTTTATCCCAATCAGCATTTAGGTTTCTGGATTTGCATACCAACCTCAAATTTCCCCATTAACTCATGTTTTGTTTTGTTTTGATACCTTTATGTGGTATGTAAGATTATTCTGAGCATGGGACAATTTAAAAAATATATATATTTTTACCAAGAGAATCAGAAATGGCAGAGAAGTAGGGGGACTTGAAGTTCCCTTGTCCTTCAAACACAGCAGTATTGAGGCCAGAGGACTTGGAATTCCAAGAGTCCAGGCTGCAGAGTGACAGACACATTGCCAGGGGCCCACGGGGACAACCTGGAGGCCATAGGTTTACTTCAGCTAACAAATCAAAGCACACTTGGTGAAGGGTCTGAACCATCACAACAAGTAGGAGGATAAAACAACCAGAGTCACAATAGGGAACACATAACACAAATCCAAAAATACCTCCTGATGGGCAGCCCTGGACAGTGTATGACCCCTCTTTAATATAGTGGTGCTCTCAGGTTCAGGGCACATAACAAGATTTTAAAACACATAAGAGACAGAAAACTAGCCAAAATGATGAAAGTAAAGAATTTTCCTCAAATGAAATTCCAGGAAGAAATGACAGCTAAAAAATTTATCAAAACAGATATAAACAGTATAGCTGATCAAGAATTTAGAATAATAGTAATAAGATTAATCGCTGGGCTTGAAAAAAAGCATAGAATACAGTAGAGAATCTTTTGCTGCAGAGATCAAGGAACTAAAATATAGTCATGCTGAATAAGAAATGTTTTAAATGAGGTGCAAAATAAGCTAGATGTGGTCACAGTGAGGAGATAAGGGGAGGTCAAAGGGGAGGTAAGTAAAATAGAAGATAAAATTATGAAAAAGATGAAAACACAGAGATAAAGAGAAAAAACAGAGATAAAAAAATTCTAGACCATGAGGGGAGAATTAGAGAATGAAGTGACTCAATGAAACCTAATAATATCTGGATCATAGGAGTTCCAGAAGAAGAAGAGAGAGAAGGTGAAGAAGGTTTACTTGAACAAATCATAGCTGAGAACTTCCCCAATATGGAGAGGCAGACATTCAAATCCAGGAGGCACAGAGAACTCCCTTCAGACATAACAAGAATTGATCTTCTCCAGTACATATCATAGTGAAACTGGCAAACAGAAAAAGAAAGAAAAAGTAGTTAGGGATAAATGGGCCTTAATCTACAAGGGTAGACACACAAGGGTAGTAGCAGACCTGTCCACTGAAACTTGTCAGGCAAAAATGGAGTGGCCGGGAATATTCAATGTGCTGAATAGGAAAAATATGCAGCCAAGAATCATTTACCCAGCAAGGCTGTCATTCAGAATAGAAAGGGAGATAAAGGTTTTCCCAGACAAACAAAAATTGAAAGTTCATAACCACTAACCATCCCTGCAAGATATCCTAAGGGGGACTCTTTGAGTAGAAGGTTGTAAAGTCTTCAAAGGTCCAGAGACAATGCCAGAAGCAGGAAACCTACAGATAACACAATGACACTAAATCCATATCTATCAATAATAACTGAATGTAAATGGACTAAATGCTCCAGTCAAAAGACATAATATATCAGAATGGATTAAAAAAAAATAAGGTCCATATATATGCTGTCTACAAGAGACCCATTTTACCTGAGGACATCTTCAGATTGAAAGTGAGAGAATGGAGAACCATCTGTCATGCTACTGGAAGTCAAAAGAAAGCTGGAGTAGCCATACTTATATCAGACAAACTAGATTTTAGACTAAAGGCTGTAACAAGAGGTAAAGAAGGGCATTATATCATAATTATGGGTCTATCCATCAAGAAAACCTAACAATTAATAATGTTTACGCACCTAATTTGATGACACCCAAATATATAAATCAATTAATCAGAAACATAAACTATCTTATTGGAAAGAATACAGTATTTGCAAGTTACTTTAATACTCCATTTACAACAATACACAAGTCATCTAGGAAGAAAATCAATCAAGAATAAATGGTCATGAGGGAGGAGCCAAGATAGTAGAACAGCATGGAAATTTTTTTTGTGTGTTGTGTCCATGAAATACAGCCAGATCAACACTAAACCATCCTGCACACCTAGAAAACTGCTTGGAAGATTAACACAACAATCTACACAACTTGAACCATGGAACTTAGCAGGTACGTGGCCCAGAGGGGTGAAGTGGGGGAGAGAAACTGCGGAGGGCAGGAAGCTGTTTTTGCTTTCAGAGAGAGGACAGAGAGGGTGTGTGTATGTGTGTGTGGGGGAGATACAGGAAAAGCAACCCCCCACAAAAGCAGCTGAAGAGAACTGGAAAGGTGGAAACAGCCACAGGGACTGAACTAAAAAGGGAGAATGGAGAAATTAGAGGGTTTCAATTCCATTAAGACTCTAAAGAAGAGTGCAGAGTCTGAAACTCTGCAACTCGATAGCTGGTGGGAATGGCAAATTCCCAGGAGCAGAGTGAAGTCTGGGGGTTTGCCAGCCACACAGGGAGAGGACATCTGGTAGAGGCTGTGTGGCATCCCCACAGGCAAAGACCCCAGTGGACCCAGGAGAACAACCACATTCGTTAGTGCTGGAACAAGGTCATTGGGGGTGAGCATGATGCCAGATGTGTGTTGGGATTTTCCATAATCTCTGAAACACTGCTGCTACACCAGCGTGTGAACTTTTTCTGGAGTAGGCTGGCACCCCCAGCCGCAGTCTCTGGGCATTGGCAGCACAATCCTGCGAATGTTCCTGGGTGGGACTGGCACCAGGCCATTGCTTGGTGAGACCCTCCTGCAGGGGGGCAGAAAGGGTCAAAGCTACAGTCCCTCAGAAATAAGGGGTCGGAAAACACAGCTGCATCTGAGATAAAACTCAGGAGGAAGGTGCTTCCTGGGCTTGGTCACAGTGTAAAAGCGGGGAGTGGACAGAAGTCGAAGACAAAGGACAGGTATGCTATTACTGATGGGGGAGAACAGAGTTCCCATACTAGAGACTGGGTAGCTGGTTGATGCCATTTTTAGCCCTCCTGTGCATGTGCGTACACACTTACAAGTGCACAGCAATCCACCCCAGTGAGCTAAGCAGCACCATCTAGTGGAGAATGGAGCCATTACACTAAGCCCTGCCCAACTGGCCCCACATCGTTCTTCAAAAACATGAATCTCTCCTCCTGCTTAGTTTATGGACTATAAAGCACATTACAGTTTTACTCCTAGGGGAAAATGAAGTAATTTCAGTCATATTTCAGTCTGTTCACTATCCATCTATTCAATTTTCTTTTTCTTCTTCTTTTTTTCTTGAATACAGAAATAGAAAAATTTATTTTTATTTATAATGTTTATTAAAAATGTTTTTCTGTAATTTTTCTACTATTTTCTTTTTACTTTGTGTAATTTTTTCAAGTTCTATTTTACTTCAATCATTTCATTTTATTCTATTTCAGTGTATTAATTTTTTCAAATTTTCAAATGATTTACTTTTTTTCTTTCCCCTTTTTTTCTGTAATCTATCAAGCCCCTTTCAATACCCAGACCAAAACACACCTAGGCTCTAGCATCATTTACTTGATTTGTGTGTGTGTGTTGTTTTAAATTTTTAAATTTTAATACTTTTATTAATTTTTTTAATTTATTTTTTTACCTCATTAATTCCTTTTCTCCCTTCTAAATAACAAAATGAAGAAATTCATCCCAAAAGAAAGAACAGGAAGAAACAACAGCCACGGACTTAACCAACACAGATACAAGAAAGTTATCTAAAGCAGAATTTAGAATCATGATAATAAAAATACTAGCTGGAGTCAAAAATAGATTAAAATCCTTTTCTGCAGAGATAAAAGAAGTAAAAGCTAATCAGGATGAAATAAAAAAAATGCTATAACTGAGCTGTAATCTCGAATGGATGCCACATCCAAGGATGGATGAGGCAGAGCAGAGAATCAGTGATATAGAGGACAAACTTATGGAGGGTAATGAAGCAGAAAGAAAAAAAAAAAAGAAAGAGATTAAGGCAAAAGAGCATGATTTAACAATTAGAGAAATCAGTGACTCATTAAAAAGGAACAACATCAGAATCATAGGGGTCACAGAGAGGAAGAGAGAGAAAAAAAGGTAGAAGAGTTATCTGAGGAAATCATAGCAGAAAACTTTCCTCACCTGGGGAAAGACCAGACATAAAAATCCAGGAAGCACAGAGGACTCCCATTAGATTCAACAAAAATAGACCATCAACAAGGCATATAATAGTCAAATTCACAAAATCCTCAGGAAAAGAAAGAATCATGAAAGCAGCAAAGGGAAAAAGTCCTTAACTTACAAGGGAAGAGAGATCAGGTTCACAGCAGACCTATCCACAGAAACTTGGCAGGCCAGAAAACAGTGGCAGGATACATTCAATGTGCTAAATCAGAAAAATATGCAGCCAAGGATTCTTTATCCAGCAAGGCTGTCATTCAAAATAGAAGGAGAGATAGTTTCCCAGACAAACAAAAATTAAAGGAGTTTGTGACACAGAACCAGCCCTGCAAGAAATTTTAAGGGGGACTCTCTAAGGGTAGAAAAGATGAAAAAAAAAAACCAAAAAATGAATAAATAAATAAATACCAAAAGCAACAAAGACTAAAAAGGACCAGAGAAAACCACCTGAAACTCCAACTCTATAAGCAACATAATGGCAATAAATTAATATCTTTCAGTACTCACTCTAAATGTCAATAAACTAAATGATCCAATCAAAAGATATGGGTAACAGAATGGATAAGAAAACAAGGTCCATCTGTATGCTGTTTACAAGAGACCCACTTTAGACCTAAAGTCACCTTCAGATTGAAAATAAGGTGATGGAGAACCATCTATCATGCTAATTGTTGACAAAAGAAAGCCAGAGTAGTCATACTTATATCAGATCATCTAGACTTTAAAATAAAAACTGTAACAACACATGAAGAGGGCATTATATCATAATTAAGGGGTCTGTCCACCAAGAAGACCTAATAATTGTAAACATTTATGCTCCAAATGTGAGAGCTCCCAAATATATAAATCAATTAATCACAAACATAAAGAAACTCATTGATAATAACACCATAATAGTAGTGGACTTCAACACCCCATTTATAACAATGGACAGATCATCTAGTCAGAAAATCAACAAGGAAATAATGGCTTTCAATGACACACTGGGCCAGATGGACTTAACAGATATATTCAGAACATTTCGTATCCTAAAGCAGCAGAATATACATTCTTCTCCAGTGCACATGGAACGTTCTTCAGAATAGACCACATACTGGGATATAAATCAGCTCTCAACAAGTACAAAGAGATTGAAATCATACTGTGCATATTTTAAGGCCACAACGCTATGAAACTCAAAATCAACCACAAGAAAAAAAATTGGAAATGTAACGAATAGTTGGAGACTAAGGAACATCCTACTAAAGAATGAATGGGCTAACCAAGAAGTTAGAGAGGAAATTAAAAAGTATATGGAAACCAATGAACATGATAACACCACAGCCCAAAACCTCTGGGACGCAGCAAAGGAGGTCATAGGAAGAAAGTATATAGCAATCCAGGCCTTCCTAAAGAAGGGACAAAGGTCTCAGATACCCAACCTAACCTTACACGTTAAAGAGCTGGAAAAAGAACAGCAAATAAATCCCAAAACCAACAGAAGACAGGAAATAATAAATATTAGAGCAGAAATTAATGCTATTGAAACAAACAAACTAACAACAACAACAACAAAAACCCCAGAAGAGATCAATGAAACCAGAAACTGGTTCTTCGAAAGATTAACAAAATTGATACACCACTAGCCAGTTTGATCAAAAAGAAAAAGGAAAGGACCCAGAAAAGTAAAATCAAGAATGAAAGAGGAGAGATCACAATCAACACAGAAGAAATAAAACCAATAATAAGAGAATATTATGAGCACTTACATGCCAATAAAATGAGAAGTCTAGAGAAAATGGACAAATTTCTAGAAACATATACACAACCATAATTGAAGCAGGAAGAAATATAAAATTTGAACAGGTCTGTAATCAGTAAAGAACTCAAATTAGTAATCAGAAAATTCCCAAAAAAAGGAGTCCAAGGCCAGATGGCTATCTAGGAGAATTCTACCAAACATTTAAGGAAGAGTTAACACCTATTCTCTTGAGATTGTTCCAAAAAATAGAAATGGAAGGAAAACTTTCAAACTCTTTCTAGAAGCCAGCATTATCTTTATTCCAAAACCAGACAAAGACCTCACTAAAAACGAGAACTAGAGACCAATTTCCCTGATGAACATGGATGCAAAAATACTCAATAAGATATTAGCCAACTGGATCCAACAATATATTAAAAAATTATTCACAGTGACCAAGTGGGATTTATAACTGGAATGCAGGTCTGGCTTAATATCTGCAAAACAAGAATTGTGATACATCACATCAATAAAAGAAATGACAATAACCATATCCTTCAATAGATGCAGAGAAAACATTTGACAAAATACAGCATACTTCCTTGATAAAAACCCTCAAAAAAGTAGGGGTAGAAGGATCATACCTCAAGATCATAAAAGCCATATATGAAAGACCCAATGCTAATATCATCCTCAATGGGTAAAAACTGAGAGCTTTCCCTTTAAGGTCAGGAACAAGACCGGGATGTCCACTTTTGCCACTGTTATTTACATAATATTGGAAGTCTTAGCCTCATCAATCAGACAACACAAAGGAATAAAAGGCATAAAAATCAGCCAGAAGGATGTCAAACTTTCACTCTTTGTAGATGACATGATATATGGAAAACCCAAAAGATTCCACCAAAAAACTGCAAAAACATTCATGAACTCAGCAAAGTGGCAGGTTATAAAATCCATGCAAAAAAATTGATTGCATTCCTATACACCAACAATGAAGCAACAGACAGAGAAATCAAGGAATCAATCCCATTTACAATGGCACCAAAAACCTAAAATACCTAGGAATAAATCTAACCAAAGAGGTGAAAACTCTATACACTGAAAAGTATAGAAAGCTTATGAAAGAAATTGAAAAGGACACAAAAAATGTAAAAATATTACATGTTCCTGCATAGAGAGAACAAATATTGTTAATATGTCACTACTACCCAAAGCAATCTACATATTCAATACAATACATATAAAATAAAACCAGCATTATTCACAGAGCTAGGACAAACAATCCTAAACCTTGTATGGAACCAGAAAAGACCCCAAATAGCCAAAGCAATCTTGAAAAAGAAAACCAACCCTGGAGACATCATAATCCTGGTCTTCAAGCTGTATTACAATGCTGTAATCATCAAGACAGTATGGTAACTGGCACAAAAACGGACACTCAGATCAATGGAACAGAATAGAGAACCCAGAAATGGACCCACAAACATATGGCCAACTTAACTTTGACAAAGCAGAAAGAATATGCAATAGAATAAAGACAGTATTTTCAGCAATTGGTGCTGGGAAAACTGGACAGTGACATGAAGAAAAATGAACCTGGACCACTTTCTTACACCATACACAAAAATAAACTCAAAACGGATGAAAGGCCTAAATGTAAGACTGGAAGCCATCAAAATCCTTGAGAAGAAAGCAGGGAAAAACCTCTATGACTTTGGTCGCAGCAATTTCTTACTCAACACATCTCTGGACACAAGGGAAACAAAAGCAAAAATGAACTAGTGGGACCCCATTAAAATAAAAAGCTCTGCACAGCTAAGGAAACAATCAACAAAACTAAAAGGCAACCGACAGAAGGGGAGAAGATATTTGCAAATGACATATCAGATAAAGGGTTAGTATCCAAAATCTATAAGGAACGTATTAATCTCAATACCCAAAAAACAAATAATCCAGTGAATAGATGGACATGAATAGACACTTCTCCAAAGAAGACATCCAGATGGCCAACAAACACATGAAAAAATGCTCAACATCACTTATCATTAGGGAAATACAAATCAAAACCACAATGAGATACTACCTTACACCTGTCAGAATGGCTAACATTAACAACTCAGGCAACAACAGATGTTGGTGAGGATGCAGAGAAAGAGGATCTCTTTTGCACTGCTGGTGGGAATGTAACATAGTGTAGCCACTCTGAAAACAATAAGGAGGTTCCTCAAAAAACTAAAAATAGAACTACTCTACAACCCAGCAATTACCCAAGGGATACAGGTATGCTTTTTTGAAGGGACACATACACCTCAATATTTATAGCAGCACTATCAATAATAGCCAAAGTATGGAAAGAGCCCAAATGTCCATCGATGAATGAATAGATAAAGAAGATGTGATATGTGTATATATATATATATATATATATATATATATATATATACACACACAATGGAGTATCACTCTGCAATCAAAAAGAATGAAATCTTGTCATTTGCAACAATGCAGATGGAACTAGAGGGTATTATGCTAAGCGAAATTAGTCAGAGAAAGACTAATATCATATTATTTCACTCATATGAGGGCTTTAAGACATAAAGAGATGAACATGAGGGAAGGGTAGCAAAAATAACATAAAAACAGAGAAGGTGACAAAACTAAAGAGACTCATAAATATGGAGAACAAACAGAGGGTTACTGGTGGCGTTGTGGGAAGAGGGATGGGCTAAATGGGTAAGGGGCATTAAGGAATCTACTCTTGAAATCATTGTTGCACTATATGCTAACTTGGATGTAAACTAAAAAAATAAAATGAAATAAATCCAAATAAAAAGAAATAAAAAGATAGAAATATTGATATCTTTCCCTCTAATATTGGGTACAAGGATATTTTTTATCAGTGCTTTGAATCAGGAGTGTATTGGATATCTTTGGCAGTCTAATAAGGCAGAAAATGTCCTAGCAAGTCTTAAGATTGAAAAAAAAAAAAACCCTTCATTTACAAATGATATGGTTAGGCTTATAGAAACTTAAAAACATCAACAAATTTGAATATTGAATAAAGATTGTCTTTAAAATTTGTTTATTTTCTCTGGAATGCTACTTTTTGAGAGTATTTTATAAAATTTTACTGTTAATCTAATATTTATGAAATAATTTCAAGTTGGAAGGAATATATATTTTTTATTTCAAATATTTAATTACAATGACTTTTAATAGAACATTTAAAACCTGAAAGAAAGAAAGAAAGAAAGAAAGAAAGAAAGAAAATAAGAAAGAAAGAAAGAAAGGAAGGAAGGAAGGAAGGAAGGAAGGAAGGAAGGAAGGAAGAAAGAAAGGAAGAAAGAAAGAAAGAAAGAAAGGAAGGAAGAAAGAAAGAGCCAATGGTCATGAATGATAAGCTGGACCAGATGGATTGACAGATATATTCAGAAGTTTTCATCCAAAAGAAGCAGAATACACATTCTTTTTGAGTGCACATAGAACTTTCTCCAAGATAGATCAAATACTGGGTCACAAAACAGCCCTCAATAAATATAAAAGAATTGAGATCATACCATGCAAATTTTCAGATCACAATGCTATGAAACTTGAAATCAACTAGAGGAAAAAGTTTGGAAAACCTCCAAATGCATGGAGGTTAAAGAACATCCTACTAAAGAATAAATGAGTCAGTAGGCAATTAAAGAAGAAATTTAAAAATATATGGAAGCAAATGATAATGAAAACACAACAGTCCAAATCTTTGGGAATGTAACAAAGGCAGTCCTAAGAGGAAAATAGATTGCAATCCAGGCCTATCTCAAGAAATAAGAAAAATCCCAAATACAAAATCTAACTGCACACCTAAAGGAAATAGAAGCAGAACAGCAAAGAAAACCCAAGGCCAGGAGAAGAAGAGAAATGATAAAGATTAGAGAGAAATAAACAATATAATACAAAAAACCAGAAAACAGATCAATAAAACTAAGAGTTGGTTTTTTGGAAAAAAAAAAAAAAAAGATAAACCTCAAGCCAGACTTCTCAAAAAGACAAGAAGACCCAAATAGATAAAATCACAAATGAAATTGGACATATCACAACCAACCCCTCAAAAATACAAACAAGTACCAGAGAATACTATGAAAAATTATACGGAAACCAACTGGCAACCTGGAAGAAATGGACAAATTCCTAGCACACCCACACTAACAAAACTCAAACCGGAAGAAATAGAAAATTTGAACCAACACAAAACTAGTGAAGAAATTGAATCAGTTATCAAAAATCTCCCAACAAACAAGAGATCTGGGCCAGATGGCTTTTAAGGGGAATGCTGCCAGACATTCAAAGCAGAGTTAATACCTATCCTTCTCAAGCTGCTCCAAAAAATAGAAATGGAAGGAAAGCTTCTGGACTCATTCTATGAAGCCAGCATTACCTTGATTCCCCAAACAGACAGACATCCCACAAAAAAGGATAACACACACCAATATCCCTGATGAATATGGATGCAAAAATTCTCAATAAGATGCTAACAATTAAAATTAAATAGCATATAAAAAGAATTATTCACCATGATCAAGTGGGATTCATTCCTGGGCTGCAGGGCTTGTTCAATATTTGCAAATCAATCAATGTGAGACATCACATTAATAAAAGAAAAGAACCATATTATCCTATCAATAAATTCAGAAAAACATTTGACAAGACATAGCATCCTTTTTTTAATAAAAACCCTCAAGAAGGTTGGGATAGAAGGAACATGCTTTAACATAAAAGCCATATATGAAAAGCCCACAATGAATATCATCTTCAATGGGGAAAAACTGAGAGCTTTCCCCCTGAGATCAGGAACACGACAGGGATGTCCACTCTCACCACTGTTGTTTAACACAGTGTGGGAAGTTCTAGTATCAGAATCAGACAAGAAAATGAAATAAAAAGCATCAAAATTGGCAAAGAAGACATCAAACTTTCACTTTTCACAGATGACATGATACTCTACATGTAAAACTCGAAAGACTCCACCAAAAAGCTGCCAGAACTGATACATGAATTCATAAAGTTGCAGGATGCAAAATCAATGTACAGAAATCAGTTTCATTTCTATACACCAATAATGAGGCAACAGAAAGACAAATAAAGAAACTGATCCCATTTACAATTGCACCAAGAACTATAAAATACCTAGGAATAAACCTAACCAAAGATGTAAACGACATGTAGGCTGAAAACTATAGAAAACTTATGAAGGAAATTGAAGAAGACACAAAGAAATGAAAAAAACATTCCATGCTCATGGATTGGAAGACTAAATGTTGTTAAAATGTCAAAACTACCGAAACCAATCTACACATTCAATGCAATCCCAATCAGAATTGCATCAGAATCTTTCTCAAAGCTAGAACAAACAATCCTAAAATTTGTATGCAACCACAAAAGACCCTCAGTAGCCAAAGTAATACTGAAAAAGAAAACCAAAGCAGAAGGCAACAATCCCAGACTTTAGCCTCTACTACAAAGCTGTAATCATCTAGACAGTATGGTATTGGCACAAAATCCGACACATAGACCAATGAAATAAAGACCCCAAATTGGACCCACAAATGTAATGCCAACTAATCTTTGACAAAGCAGAAAAGAATATCCAATGGAAAAAAGATAGTCTCTTTAACAAATGGTGCTAGGAGAACTGGACAGCAATGTGCAGAAGTAATTAAACCAGACCACTTTCTTACACCATACACAAAAATGAAGTCAAAATGGATGGAAGACCTAAATGTGAGACAGGAAACCATCAAAATTCCAGAGGAGAAAGCAGGCAACAACTTCTTTGACCTCAGCTGCAGCAATATCTCGGTCAACATGTCTCCAAAGGCAAAGGAATTATAAGCAAAAATGCACTATTGGGACCTCATTAAGATAAAAAGCTACTGCACTGCAAAGGAAACAATCAACAAAACTGAAAGGCAACTGATGGAATGGGAAAAGATATTAGCAAAGGACATATCGGATAAAGAGCTAGTATCTAAAAAATCTATAAGAACTTACCAAACTCAACACCTGAAAAACAAATAATCCAGTGAATAAATGGACAGAAGACATGAATAGACACTTTTCAAAAGAAAATATCCAGATGGCCACAGATACATGAAAAGATGTTCATCATTCCTCATCAGGGAAATACAAATCAAACCTACACAGAGATATCACCTCACACCAGTCAGAGTGGCTAAAATGAAAGACTCCGGAAACAACAGATGGTGGCGAGGATGTGGAGAAATGGGAACCCTCTTACACTGTTGGTGGGAATGCAATCTGGTACAGCCACTCTGGAAAACAGTGTGGAGGCTCTTCAAAAAATTAAAAAAAATAGAACTACACTACAACCCAGCAATAGCACTACCAGGAATTATCCAAAGGATGCAGGAGTGCTGATTCATAGAGGCCCATGTACCTCAATGTTTATAGCAGTGTTTTCAACAACAGCCAAATTATGGAAAGAGCGTAATGCCCATCAACTGACGAATGGATTAAGAAGATGTGGTTTACATATACAATGGAATACTACTTGGCACTGAGAAAGAATGAAATCTAGCTATTTGCAGCAACATGGATGGAACTGGAGAGTATTACACTAAGTGAAATAAGTCAGTCAGAGAAAGATAAATATCATATGTTTTCACTCATATGTGGAACTTGAGAAGCTTATCAGAAGACATGGGGAAAGTTAAGGGAAAAAAATAGTTGCAAATAGAACAAGAGGGAGGCAATCAATAAGAAACTCTTAAATATAGAGACCAAACTGAGGGTTGATGTGGGGGAGGTGAGGGCAAAATGGGTGATGGGCATTGAGGAGCGCACTTGATAGGATGAGCACTGGGTATTGTATGTAAGCAACGAATCATGGGAATCTACCCCCAAAACCAAGAGCACACTGTATACACTGTATGTTAGCCAACTTTCTAATAAATTATATTAAAAAGTAGTATTTTCATCCTTTACTTTGTATCAGTATGTGAAGAGAAATATTTGTAGTGTAGTAGTTCCTTTTTCAGCCAAAAACAAAGAACATAAACACATGAGACTTACCCTTTACTGATCATTGAGTGCTAAGGGTCCTCCCAATTCTGGTATTTGCCACACACAGATATTACACCTTGTCTGTGTACTCAGTGTTGATCCTGAACAACTCCCCCCTCCCCCTTTTTTTTTAGTTATAAAACTAGATGGTGTGGATAATTTCTGTGCTCCTAGCCCTTCTTCCCATTCAGGAAGACTTCTGAGGATCTGAGGTTTTTCTACTAGACTCATTCTTTTGGATCCTGATACCTGATGAGACAGATTTTTTTTTAACGTTTAT